TTGCTGTCTCAGCACACCCAGGGATGGGGTCGGCCAGCACAGCAGGCCTGGGGAATCAAACCCCAACCCCCTGCACCTGCTTGCAGGCGCTTTAATCCGCTGAGCTTTTTGGCCTGCCCTTGGTTTCTTGTTTTTACTTTGAAAGATCATTCTGTTGGGCCAAGGAGATAGCTCAGCAGCATAAGCGCCTTCCTGGCAAGCATAAGGTTCAATCCCCAATATTGCAAAAAAAGTTCATTTTGTTTTAGATTAGACATAAAAAGCCTCAGAAGGTGGAGCTATTGATTTTATTTTTCCTTTCCCATGCAGCTCTTCCCACTACATCCCTGCAAATACCCCCCACACCCCCAGTCTAAATTTTGCTTTAAAACGGGTTCTCACTAAGTTACCCAAGACGGCCTCAGATTTTCAGTCTCCAGCCTCAGGCCTGACTGGCAGCTGGGGTTACATATGCATATCACCACACCTGTCTTCTCATTCAGCATTCTGTTTTGCTTTGTTTTCTGAGACAGGGTGTCAGAAGTAGCAGCAGTCCTCCTGCCTCAGCCTCCCAAGTGCTGGGATTGCAGTGCTGGCTTTTTCCACATTCTTAACAGCAAAACTCAGTTTCTCTTTCATTAAGTTTGTAGAAAAATGGATGAGAAGAGAAATTGTGTACCTGACATAAGATTTAAAATGTTCCCAGGACTTGGGCATGGTGATGCATACCTGTAATCCTAGGGCTCAGGAGCGTGAGGCAGGATGATCACAGTGAGTTTGAGGCCAGCCTGGGCTATACAGTAAGTTGTTGTCTTGAAAAACAAACTAATAAATAAATAAAATGTTTTCAGAATTCTGAGTTGGTCAAGCCCAGTTAAAAGGAAGTTTAGCAGGCCCTCCTCTGAATCCTGGGTCTTCCATGTATATAGTAAACTCCATTTAAACCCCCAGCTGTTCTTCTATAGGGCATTGGTTTTGGGAAATAGCACTGAGACAATTCCAGTCACATTGTTTATTTAGAGACTCAAATAGCATTAGAAAAAAGGGTAACCTATGCTGGCCAGGGATGGTGGCAGATACAAAATCACAGCTGCTAGATGCTGAGGCAAGAGGTTCATGAGTTGAGGCTGCCCTGGCAGCTTAGTGAGAGTATAGCCTCTAAAAACCTCAAACCAAAAAAGAAAGTAGCTAACCTAGAAGCTTTTACTCTTGATCATGGATTATAAATTCTTGGTCCCTATTGCACTGTTTGTAACCACTCTTGTACGAAGAGTGTGCTTGTTTTTAGGGTACTTAGAGTTGCATAATTGTTGGTGGGTGGGGTTTCCTGGTCCCCTTCCTGGTTTTGTTGTTTTCTTCACATCAGAAGTGTCATCTGTCTTTTGGTGTCAGAGTATGTCGACAGCATTTCTTTTGTTCATGACTGAGTCCAAAGGATCATGTCTCTTCTATTTCAGGCATGGAGTTGACATTCAATTACAACTTGGACTGTCTGGGCAATGGAAGGACAGAGTGCCACTGTGGCGCAGACAACTGCAGTGGCTTCCTAGGAGTGCGGCCAAAGGTAGGTTGTGGGGCACTGTGCCAGGGGGGTGCCGTGACACAGTTCACACATGAGCATCCCAGTGAAGGTTGGCATATGGGCTCCTGCTCTGCTTGCAACTCCTCAGTAGTGTGTAGACACTCTGAGTTTCAAATGAAGCCAAAGTTCTGATTAAATATGAAGTTAGCAAAGCTCTCGTAAAACTTAAAAATGAAGAATATACTAAAATCACCTTTAAGATGGTGGTTGTTGGGGGTTGGGGAGATAGCTTGACAGTCTAAGTACCTGCCTGTCAAGCACAAGGACACAGGTTCAAACCCCTGTACCGCATGCTGTGCCAGCCCCAGAACTCCAGGCATGCTGTGCTGGCCACCAAAACTGGGCATGGTGGCACACGCCTGTAATCCTAGCGCTGGGAAGGCTGAGACAGGAGGATCAGTATGAGTCTGAGTAGATAGAGACCCTGTACTAAATAGAGGGAGAGAGGGAGGAAGGAAAGAAACGATTTTTTAAAAACATTAAATTGGGGCTGGGGAGATAGCTCAGTGGCATAAGCACTTGCCTGGCAAGTGCAAGGGCCTGAGTTCAATCCCCGGTTCTGGGGGAAAAAAAAAAAAAAAAGAATAAATAATAAATAAATTTAAAAACATTAAATGGTGACTGTTATGAAACATGGGTTTAACTTGATGAAAACAGTCTGAGCATTATTGAGTTAAGATTGCTTGGATTTACCACCACTCTTGGATTTTTTTTTTAATTAATTTTATTGAGAAAGAAATAGCAATGAGACAGTTTCAAAACAGTAGAACAGTTATAATAATTAATACATTGCATGTTGTTCTCTTCGTAGTATTCAGAGTATAAGATCCAGACATAGTATTTTGTCTAAACATTATTAGTATAAATCTTTCTTCACATTGAACTAAGAGAAAGTAGCTGTATATCTATCCTATTTTGTATATATATATATTTTTTCCACTTCAAAATGGACCTTCATTTATATCCTCCTTTTTTGTTTAGTTTTGTCAAAGACAGGTATTCCATTGCTATTCAAATATTGCAGGTGCGTGAATTCAGCATTGGAATTTTAAAAAACAAAAATAATGCATCCAATTTAAAAGTCAAAGCAGAACTTTTTTTTTAGTGTAGCATTGTTATAGGGTAAGTCATCCGAGTGTCTGTAGGAATTGCACAGCAGACAAACTTTCAGTTATTATGAGGGATTTCTGTGTAAAACTCTATAGGCTATCTGTGGTTTTGAAACTGTATCCTTCCTTCCCGCCAGGCGGCATGTGCATCCACAGCTGAAGAGAAAGCAAAAAATGCCAAGTTAAAGCAGAAAAGACGAAAAGTGAAAACAGAACCAAAGCAGATGCATGAAGATTATTGTTTTCAATGTGGAGATGGTGGAGAGCTAGTCATGTGTGACAAGAAAGACTGTCCCAAAGCATACCACCTCCTATGCCTTAACTTGACTCAGCCACCGTATGGTAAGCTAGACCTTCTAAGGCCCCTCTGCATGTGTCTTCTCCATGTGTAACTCAGAATACATCCTGCTCCCATAGTAGAGTCTTGAAATAAGAAATGTTGAACAGGACAAACAGTAATAGCAGACAAAATCATGCTAGTGAAGTGTGACATGGTAGTGCACACCTGTAACCCCAGCACTTGGGAGGCTGAGGCAGGAGGATCACCTAAGACCAACCTGAGGTACATAGTAAGTTCAAAGCTAGCCTGAACTGCATACCAAGACCCTGTCTCAAAAAACAGCAAAAAGGGAAACAGATGCTAGTGAAAAATCCGTCTTTGCAAACAGATGCCTTATGTGGTAGGTGGCAAGAAGCGGTTTCTTACTGAGTATTACACAGGCAGGTAGTTAGCACCTGTGGTGCTGGGCTTGAGCCACCTCACATCCGTAGGAGATGACACGTTATAGGTGTCCATTTCACCGGAGCTCTAGCAGTCAGAGAAGAGAGTGGGAGCCCAGGGTTCCCTGGGTGACCGTGGCACTGACAAAACCCCATCCTCTCCTGTCCTACGCTAGGCAAGTGGGAGTGTCCGTGGCATCAGTGCGACGCCTGCAGCAGTGCAGCCATCTCCTTCTGCGAGTTCTGTCCACACTCATTTTGCAAGGATCACGCGAAGGGGGCTCTGGTTGCCTCTGCACTGGAGGGCCGTCTCTGCTGCTCTGAGCATGACCCTATGTCACCTGTGTCACCAGAGTACTGGAGCAAGATCAAATGTAAATGGGAATCCCAGGATCACGGAGAAGAGGCAAAGGAATAAATGAATGACGACCCCCCTTTCTGTTTAAATGAGATGAAGAAAGCAAGCGGATACTGCATTTTAAAAGCAAGAGACTGCTACGTGCACACAGCCTCTGCCCATCAGGACTGCCTTATGAAAGCAAAGATGGGAGACCGGTTCACATGGGCAGAAGCAGTTGGTGGCGTCTGGTCTTTCTGTTTTGTTTGCTGGTTTGGGGATTTTTTTCTGTGGAATGTTAAATCCTGCCCCACACCTTCAGTGCTTTTGCAACTGAGAAAAGAAATGTCTTCACTTTTAAAACCAGAACAACATGAAGTTTTGTTAATGAGATCAATTTAAAGTTTAAGATGTGTTCCTTGGTTGTGTAAGGACATTACACAAAGTAGCCATCATTTCTTTATTTATTTTCATTTTTAGGAGTTTTGAAAAGTATAGTTCAGATACTTTGATCAGTTGGTGTAAGTGTGTGTGTGTATTAAGTAGGAATTGAAGAAAGCCCTCTAGAAAAGCATATGCTCACCTTTATATACCTCTTTAATGAGTCGTAGGTAGCTGCCTTCTCTTTCCCTTCAGAATGCTTTTCATAATGTTGGAGAACTGTCTCCCCTCCCCCCCAGGTATTATGGGTATTACCTGTGTGGTCTTAAGCCAGGTGGGCTTTGTGATACAATGACGTTACCTACAAAGGGATATGATGTGAGTTTTTGGTTTTGTTTGTTTTGGAAGAGGAAAAGGAATGGGTGTGCTCACTGCTGTAGTCAGTGGGCTTCCAGTGACATGCATTGTGTGGACAGGAATGGCAGCAGAGCCTTCACACCTGCCCTGACGCCGACAGAGGCAGCTACAGCAAGGCAAAAGGCACAGACCAAAAGTGGGATTGTCTAAGCACCTTTTTAAGTCCAATTTTGTGTAGAGTTGGACTTAGAATTATGGACTTTTTTTCTAGCTGTGTTTTCCTCTCCTAATCAAACATTTTCTTGGTCAGCTGACCATTCAATCATGTTTCCTGTAAAAACTGCACAAGAAAATTAGAGTAGACCTTTTAAATTGAGTTTAGTTGGTAGGGTGAATGCAGTAGGGCCATCTTCGAATTATAGGTGAACAACCACTATTTAGTATTATTCAACAACTTAAAACTGTCCTCATAACTAAGAGCAAGAACTGCTTTCATAAGAAACACAGAAGCCACACAGATGTACTTCACATTAGGAAGCACTTCGGGAAGCTCCCACAGAGGTCTGTGTTAGCAGAAATAGTTACCAGATGTTGAGGGTTCTATTTGCAGGTATCCTACAAAATTCAGTGCTTAGGAACGTGTATGTTCCTGTATTCCTCACTCAAAATCATTCATGTCGGGTGTAACACTTGTTCAGTAGAAATCTAGGGTTAGCCTAAATGACCTTCCAGCTTTCTCTGTGAATTCTGACTGCTTATGGTTGCTGTTACCTGGCAACATTTATTTTCTCCCAGAAATGCTCAGTTCCGTATGAAGGCAGGGCGGGGTGATGCTCTGCATACCCCTTCAGTGACGCCATGTGTGTTTCACAATCTTGCCAATCTAAAGCTGTTCTCTGGAAAGAAGAAAAAAGCTGTGTTGTGCCTCTCTTTCTTTAAATACAGAAATGTGCAATTATACTGGATTTTCTCTTGTAAAAAACAACACTACAATTCCTTTCTACTTAAGCTTCTAAACTGCCATTTGCCTAATTGCAGCAATTAATTCTGAGGTGAGTTATTGGTCATCCAGTAATTCTGTTAATTACATATGATCCCAAAAGAGCAAAATGGAAAATGCTACATGTTCCCAAATCCAGTTGCTACGAGTAATGTGAAAATACAGCTCACAGCAACACTAGACTTTGCTTTTGAGCAGTTATATAGTTTGATGTCCTTTTAAAAATAATTTCAGAAAATCTAGGTTTTCTCATACTCAGATTTTATTTTATATAGATATATGATAAATGTATGGTTTTTTAAACTTACTAACAAAGATTTCCTTTAATATTATAAATGCAACTCTTGTAGAAACAATGTCCAACATGAAATTGTATCTCCTTGTTTTGTTTTGGATTTTAGTGCTATTTAATATCTGATGACTTTTATATGGTAAGCCAGGGTACATTCTATAAAGTGCAGATACCTTAGGTTTAAGTATTTTTATGCAGCTTCTCATTGTGTCATATTTTGTTTTTATATCTATAGCAAGAGCTCTGCAGAGTTTTTAAATCTTTTTTAAATAATAGGATTGTTCTCTCATTTCAGAAATCAAGGTACAAAGTAGCTAACCGTAGTTCTAAAGTCTTATGGTCTGAAAAGTGGTTTTAATCCTGCCAGTGCCAAGGGCCTCTCCTCATAGCTCTGTGGTGTTACTGTTGACCCATTTAAATGCACTCAAGTTGGAGGTTGTGAAAGCTGAAAGTTATGTCTTGTGTATGCATTAGTATACACACACTGTGCTTGCCTGGGCCACACAAGGAAACACTCCAAAAGACACACTTCTCACACTGATGTGGATAGCGCTTAAGTGGTTGGTTTTTATATTTGTCCAAAAATGAAATAAAGTAGCACAGGATAATGGTGGTTGTAGGTGTTTTCTCCACTTAACTTCATGCTGTTTGGTGGAGGAAATGAGCATAAGATTAAAAACCTTCTGATGACCATGATCTGTCAAAAGATCATCAGCATAAAGCCTCAGCATTTAGGTCCCTCAGAGCTGGAAGAAGTCCTGGCCCTTCACAGGCAGCAGTGGCTACCCAGGAGACACTGCGACCATGGGTGGGAAAGCCAGGAGTGAGGCTGCTCTTTACTTTTATGTTAACTGGTTCCCAGTCTGTCTTAATTCTCACATGTGCCTGGCCTAAACTGTAGAGTAGGCTGAGTTTTGGAATCATGGAAGCTTGGAGATTGCTGCATGCTCCAGTCAGGGAGTCTTTGAAAACTGGAAGGCAAGGGGAGAGGAGGCAACTTCCAATTCTCCACACTTGCACATGGTACTTGGAAAGGTGCCAGTGAATGACATGGAAAGATGTCAGGTGACTAACCTATAACCGGCACAGGCTGGTGAACAGCCTTCCTGGTTCTGATGGGGTCTGTTTCTTGTGTGATATGTTCCAATCAGGTCAAACCCAGACCTGTACTTTTGAGTCAGAGGTGCCGCCTAGTTCTCTGGACTGCTCAGGACTGGTTGCATGCTTTTGTTTCATTTTTAAGCAGAAAGCTCTTTTTAACCTCCACCATAAAGTCAAGGTGCCATCAACCATGTGCCATATCCAAGCAGAGTAAGAATAAGAAAGCTTGGGCCGAGGAAATAGCTCAGAGGGCCTGAGTTCAATCCCTGGTTCTGAAAAAAAGAAAGAAAGAAAGAAAGAAAGAAAGAAAGAAAGAAAGAAAGAAAGAAAGAAAGAAAGAAAGAAAGAAAGAGAAAAGAAAAAGCTTGGCGAGATGGTATGTGCTTTACCTCTACACAAGGTCCAGTGGCAGCGGCAAAGCCACTCTTTTGTGGGCAGTTCCACGTAGCCTCCAATGCATTTTTACAAGCCTGATGCATCTAGCAACCCCTGCTTATGCAAGTTACTACAGACAGAAGGTGATCAAATGAAACAATTTCATATTCAGCCTAAAGCCGCCTAGACTTGGTCTCTGGTTATTTGTAAACAAAAAGTAGAACTTAGTTCCATTTTCAAATGGGAATAGATGTAATCAGACAGCTTTGCAATGAATTAATGAATATTGAGAAGTTGGAAATTTGTATATACTGAAATCTTACCAACTTTTACCTGGGGTGGGTACTGGGACCTCTTATGGGGTGAGGGAGGGGATCATAATGTTTACCACAGGTACGATGTAGTCACTTTAACATTGAGACCTCTGCCTCATGGAATTCAGGTTTTTTAAGTACTTGAAACTCTTCATATTATTTTAGTTTCCTTTTTAAAAAATGTATGAAGTAGAAAGCATTGTTTTATGTACTATTTTGAAAACAAATATCCTTGTGTCTTGTCCTCTTTTACCTACTTTAAAAACAAAGTTCTGGAAATGAGAGCACTTGTTCACAGTAGATGCCTGAGGTTTACTGTCTGTCCTGGAGGAAGGGACTCTCGAGTGCGATACCAGCAACGTTTTTACAAACATTTCCTATGTGTGTTCTTCATTCTGTCAGGCCTATCCCAAGCGCCTCTTTTCCTTTCCCTCTATATCCATTTAGGGAAATAATTTTTTGCACTTACATTACACTCCTAAAAAATGCTGTGCATAATAACCCTTATTTATCAAAACCGTGTATGATTTTTGGTTCTTTTATCAGTCCATTGAAGTGGTGTTGATACAAATGGGCACATGTGGCCCATACGTGTGAAGGGGAAGTCAGTAATAAGCAAGTGAGAAAGGAAAATGGCATTGTCACCAAAGTTCAGCCCTTCTCCTGTGTGATGTGACTGCCGCTGCCCTTCCCACCTGCTGCATGCTCCTGACATGTGCAAAGGGCTCTCGAAGCCCCACATCGAGCATTTGTAAGACATTCCTGTTGGTTGGTTCAGGGTGGACTAGATAAAATTTACTTTTACTTTGTTTTATTAACATTCTCTCCTATACTGTCACATGCCGTGTTGAGAATCATACTCCAGTAATAATCAAGATGCTAAATGATAATTACAACTGTCTAACGAGATCATCTTTTTCTATACAAAGATGTGTGCATACTTTGAATTGTTACTAGAAATCTATTTGTACCCATTTAATACTGCACAGCACACAGATACTTAGAGACTACGTTTTCATTTCCTCAAGTTCTTTATGATAATGACCTTTGTAGATTGGTTATTTCCGTACTTTGCTTATCTGTAATAAATTTTGTAGATCCTGTGAAATGTTACTTTGCCTAAATTACTTGAGACTTGAGTCTTTAATAACAAAGCATCAATATTCACTGAAGTCAGTCTCCTGAGTTCCTGTGACTTGGCTAGAAGCTCTTGACACTAAGGGATTAGTGTTGTGTTCCCTGGGGGAGTTCCACTAGGGCATTACTGTATAATGACTTGATGTTGCCACATAGACTTTAAGATATATATACTATTTTGAGGATGTTGTTCTTTGACCTATGTTTTATTGCAGAGTGGAACGTACAGAGCTTGGGTAACCTGTGTATAGATAGCTCACTGACTAGTTACCATGTACTTAGGATTGCCTGTAATATTTAAGCTTCTTACTGATATGTGTGCTGGTAGGAACATACAGTTTTTGTACATTATATTTACTCAGATGTTGCCTTTTTTATTTTACAAATACTTCAGAAATCAAATGTGTTTTTTGCTTCTGTGAGGATTAATTTGGGAAGATTTTGACATTCCACTGATTACAGATTTTGCTTGAGATTGACTTCAATAAATTGTCCTGTATGTCCCCAAAGTTTGTTTTCTCTTCTGTGCCCATAGAGGAGGGGTCCCTGGAGAGCCCCGCTTGCGTTTATGGTCCCTGTCACCGGGTTTGAGCATAGCAGGTGACAAAGGGCAGCGGGAGAGACAGCGCTGGCTCATTGGCGGGCCCCTGCCTGCGCCCTGCACGTGCGGAAGAGGCCCGCGGCGCAGGCGCAGTATCCGCGCGCTGCTGCAGCACCCGGCGTCCGCGGGCGGCCACGTCAGCGTCAGCGCGTGCTAGGCGGCGCGGCTCGGGGATGGCGGCGGCGGCGCTTGGGGTCGAAGTGGGCATTCGGGTAGCGCTGTTCGCGGCATTCCTGTAAGGGCCGGAGCGAAGCCCTGTCTTGCGGCGGCGGGACCCGGCCTGCCGTGCGCCGCTAAGCACCGTCCGTGCCTGTTTCTCCCCAGGGTGACCGAGCTGCTTCCGCCTTTCCAGCGGCGGATCCAGCCTGAGGAGATGTGGCTGTACAGATTCCCGTACGTGGAAACCGAGTACTTCCCCGCCAAGCCCATGTTTGTGCGTGGATACCCGGTCCTCCTCCCCTGCGGGACCTCTGGAGGAGGGAGCCCGAAGCGGCGTGCTCCGATTCCGCTTCCGTGTTTGAATGTTAACTTCCAGATGCGAGGCCGTCCGGGTCTGGCCTGGACCTCAGCTGTGTTGCGTTCCTGGTCTGCCGCGTGGGGGCGGCGGCGGGGGCGGAGGGGCGCAGTGGTCGCGTCGTGAGGACCTCCTTTCAGTACTGCCCCGGGAGGTGCTGCGCGGGCACCTCCTTCCCTCCTTCCCTCGTACTAGACCGTGGCAGGCTTGGCTGTGTCGTTTCACCTTTGACATATCCGGTTCAGGTCATTGCGTTTTTCTCACCGCTGTCTCTGATCATCCTGGCCAGATTTCTGAAGAAGGCGGACACCGCAGACAGCAGACAGGCCTGCCTGGGTGAGAGCCGACTTCCCGTGCGGGCATGACCCGGGGGTGGCTGCTCACACTGCCCCCGAGGCCGCATTGCTGAGGCAGCTCTATCCCCGCACCTGATGCTCAGTCCCCCACGCACGCAGAGCTGGTGCTGAGGACATAGGCCGCAGGGTGTGCCCCACAGCCTGTCTGGCTCCCGGCCCCTCTTCACAGAGCCACTGACAGTGCCCTTGCTTTGCAGCCGCCAGCCTCGCCCTGGCGCTTAACGGGATCCTCACCAACACAGTGAAGCTCATAGTGGGCCGGTGAGTCAGCTGCAGCCGACGTCCTCCCTTATGCCAGCTTTCTGTGTTCCTCCTTTACTCAAAGCTCAGCCTTTTTCTCCTTCAGCACTGCCTGCCCTCGGCCTCTGGCTTGCAGGTGAGAGCGGGGCTCTTTCTACCTTCAGAGCATTTCCCATTAACACCCTGTGTGGAGGCCTGGCTCAGCTAGTGTGGCTTGCTGCTTGCTGTAGAACGTAACTCCAGCAAGTGGTTTTCCTTATTTCCTAATTTAAACGTCTACTCTGGAACTAATGCTTTTCTCTTAGTGTAGAGATTATCCTAATCCAATTACATTATTTTGCCAGGGACAGTATATGAGGAATAGTAAGATTATTGCTGTCTGATACAACTGAAAAACACTTTCTTAAAGTGGCAGTAATCAGTGCTTAGTATGTCTGCATTTCTCTAGGCCACGGCCAGACTTCTTCTTCCGCTGCTACCCGGATGGGCTGGCCCGTGAGGAGCTGCCGTGCACCGGGGACGAGGCCGTGGTGACTGAGGGCCGGAAGAGCTTCCCCAGTGGACATTCATCCTGTAAGGCTTCCTCTGGATCCTCTGCTCTACTTCCTTTTGCGTCGTTGCATTTGACCCAGGAAGCTTGAAGGACTACGGTCATCTGACCACGAGAAATTGGAACCCCTCCCCTTAAATAACCCTGTAATTTCACCCAGCCTTAGCTTTGAGTATTAGGACCAGAGTGCAATGAGTCAGTTACCCCTGAGATCTGCACATTTTGTTATCACTGCTGTACTAACTGTAAAAAAAAAAAGTACCTTTCTTGAAGGGTTCTCTTGTGTCAGGTGCATTGGAGCATTTCAGTCTTACATTTACAGCTTGCAGTGACTCACTGAAGTACTATTATTTTGTGACTCCCATTCATAGATGAGGAAACCAAAGCATACAGAAGTAACCCACCCAAAGTCATGTAACTTGAATTTTAAAAACTATTCTTGGGTAAAAATACTGGGATAAAAAATAAAATCCTTCACTTTTCCTTCCTTTTCTCGGGTAGCCAGTGATCTACCCTAGAAGAGCACAAAAAGGGTCAACAATTGACCAGCATGACGTGACTCCCGCAGATCTAACTGCTCCTGGTCTCCCTTTCTAGTTGCATTTGCTGGCCTGGCCTTCACATCTTTCTACCTGGCTGGAAAGTTACACTGCTTCACACCCCAAGGCCGTGGGAAGTCTTGGCGGCTCTGTGCCTTTCTATCCCCTCTGCTTTTTGCAGCTGTGATTGCACTGTCCCGAACCTGTGACTACAAGCATCACTGGCAAGGTAAGTGGGTGTTGGCCCCATGGTCCTAGCCCAGTTTTTTTTTGCTCCAAGATGGCACAGAGGAGCTGCTCCATCCTTGGTATGCAGCCAAGTATACCTGGAGCAAAGACAGACGCTAACTCGACAGAAGATTCCCAGTGAGTCAGGTTCTGACCTTCCGCTCTGTGCAGCATCTTAAGTTCCCAGTAAACTGCCACTGTGAGGAAGTGTGTAAGCAGCACAGCAGCCTGTGCTTGTGGCCTCAGAGCCCCAGGAAGCTCAGGCCAGTGCCTCACTAAGCCCAGGAGGAGGGCCAGGCTAGATGGGACAGACACCATCTCAAATGAAACAAAACAAACCTTACAAAATAAAGCTCACTTTTCTCTCTTTTTTTTTTTAGAATTTTT